TAGACCAGATAAGTTGCTCGGAAGAAAAGTCGTGGAATTCCAACCGTCAATAAATTGTAATTATTTGAACTGAAGGCCAATTATTGTAATTTGTTAGTGGTCAAATGTTTGGCAAAATTTTATTTCATGTCATACTTTTGTTTTTGATAAAATTTCTTAAGAACACTGTTGATATTCGAACGGTGTATAGAATGTTAGTAGGTTAGTTCAGGGGGAAAAAAGTGGTGGTGATCTCCAATTTGATTCCTTAAAAAAGTTCTACAGCTAGAAATTCGCGAAGATATTCCCTATTGGTGCTGATCACATTGTTTTCTTGATATATGGGAACTTCATCTATGGTGGATATCTCTTCGAGGGTGTTTCAAGATCCTTTTTGGAAGCATTTCGAACAATCTTGGGAAAATTTCTCACGAACGCTAATAGAAGCTTCTCCTCAAATTCTTTAAAATCATTGTATTATGAATAATCGCCATTGTTTGACTATCGGAACAACAGGGGCCACAAAAAACAAGCAACACGTGAAGTAACGATGTTAGAAAAATCATCGAAACCACCAGTCTTAACAATAAACCGAGCCTCTTTGACTTTTATGTTAAATACCCAAGGCAATCGTGCCTCTAAATCCACCGACTACTTTTGAAATGGATGCGAACTTACTAATTTCGGTCGTGTACCCTCTGATCTACCTTTGCCTTTGTGGAGTAATTTCAATCGTCTTCCCTCCGCTCTACTTCTCTATACATTAGGTCTAGTTGTGTATCATCTGATCTACCCTTTGATTTGTTTAATTATTTCAAAAGGTCTTTTACTATACATTTTTGATCTAGATTTATAGTATAGTATGAATATTAATTAGCTGGAATTTGGACAATTAGATCAAATTTCTTGATCAATATATGGGAACTTGAGCTATGACGGAGGCCTCTTTGAGTGTGCTTTAAGTTTTTTTTTTTCCGGAAGCATTTAGAAAAATTCTTATTGGAAAAGTTGCCAGGAACGCTGGTTTTGCTCACTTCGAAGCCATCATAGTTTCGAGTGATCGCCATTGATTGACCATCGATAAGATAGAGATCCAAAAGCAAGCACCACGTGAAGTAACCATATTTGGAGAACAAGCGAAATCAATAGCTCTAGTAAAAAAAACTATCCTCTTTAATTGCAATAATTGACATCCAAGATATTTATGCTTTAAAAGCTATGAGCTACTTCTGAAACAAACGCATACTCATCAATTGCAATGAAATGCCTTTTGATCTACCTTCCTTTTTGTACTGATTTTTATGAACGGCAAATTTTGATTTATGCTGGACGCCTGGACTTTGGCTTTATGTTCACTTTCATTTGCTCCATTATGTCACGAAACTCATTATAGTGATCTAAGCCTATATTTCCCAGTGACGAGAGCGGCACTTGGAAAACCGCCAAGTGACAATCTAACGCCGATAGTTTCACACCAAGATCTGAACGGAATAGGAGATTATAAATATAGTGCCATGTGGCTTACTGTAATCACCTCAAAGATAAACACGTAACGTTACGGCGAGAACAACTCCATCTGAGTATGTCTTACAATACAGCCTATTCATTGGTTGGCATCAACCATTCGCAATCCCACCCATACCAATAGCAGCTGCGTTCACTACTAACGTCCTCGGCCCATGCAAGCCCCATTGCCCCAGGGTTAGATGGCTCCGTCAGCTCACTGCAACCAACACTTCCCCTATCGAATTCGGACCCGCACGATCGCTTGGCGTCTTAAAGGTCGTTGCTGCGGGTCGTGTTGACGACTTCCTCAGGTCAGTCATACAGTCAGAACGTACTATGAGGCCACACAAGTATTCCATCTATCGTTCCTCAAACGACTCACTCATTTTCGGGATAGAAACACTCCTTGTCCCAAAAAAGGCGCTTAGGGATTTCACCTTGTACTTATCAGGTAACCACCATCCCCTAATTCCTCGGAAAACTCAAACCTTCGAGTGTAATGACAACCAAGTAACTAATACTAGAACGATACTAAAATACGAGAACAGAAACATTTTATTAGACCCATATGAAAATCACACAAGCAAATGGTATTATTTGTGGCCCTAAAGAGGGCCGTTGGGTTAATTGAAGTTTACTTCGTGCGAGATCTGCTTGCTGCAGGTGTACTTGACCACCGCCTTGTTTCCCTCGGAAACGGCGTGCAACGCGAAATGACCTGGGAGGATCAGTCTCACAGCGGTCTGGATTTCACGAGCTGAGATTATCGATCGTTTCTTGTAGCGCACCAGACGTGTTGCCTCGGCAGCAATGCGCTCAAAAACCTCGTTAACGAACGAATTCATGATCGACATCGCATTGAGGACACGCCGGTATCGGGACGGACCTGCTTGAGCACACGATAGATGTAGACCAAATAGCTCTCCTTTCGGCGATGCTTTTTCTTCTTGTCTTCAGCACGACTGGCCTTCTTGCTCTTGGCTGCCTTCTTGGCTCCTTTAGCTGACTGCTTGGGTGGCATAGTGAATACTCGTGGAAACTGCGAGTGCTCGACGGATCTTCTCAAGCCAATTTGTAGCGCTATCCCGATAAAGCCCCGCCTCCACGCTCAGTCAATAGTAGACGGAGCGTCGGAGCCGGTTCCCTATAAATACTGCCCAGTGGCTGTAGATGTATCCGTTTGTTCATCAAGTACATCGTCGCTCGTAGTCGCTGTCATGTCTGGACGTGGTAAAGGAGGCAAAGCCAAGACTGGAGGCAAGACGAAGTCAAGATAATCGCGTGCTGGTCTCCAGTTTCCACTTGGACGAATTCACCAAATGCTTCGCAAAGGCAACTACGCTGGCAGAGTGGGTGGTGGAGCGAACGTCTATCTCGCTGCTGTTCTTGAATATCTGGCTGCTGTAGTGCTGGAGTTGGCTGGGAATGAAGCTCGTGACAACAAGAAGACCAAGATCAGCCCGCGTCATCTCCAACTTGCTGTGCGTAGCAACGAGGACCTCAATAAGCTACTCTCAGTAGTAACTATTCCTCAAGGTGGGGTTCTCCCCAACATCCACGTTGTTCTACTGCCCAAGAGGACTGGTGCAGAGAAGGAGTAAGTCTCAAGCATTCGAGCCAAAATCTAACCCAACGGCCCTCTTTAGGGCCACAATTGTCTTTTCATACGTTCATTAAGAAACTGTTCCAATAAAGATGTTGTTTTCATTCTATATTATTAATCTGTAAAAAAGATATCGCCTATCGAACAGTTAAGGATCACGCCTCACTAACTTCTATGAGCTTTGTAAGAATTTCATAGCGATGAGATAGCTTAAGACGAGACTTGAATTATCACTTCGTTCCAGTCATCCGAACCAAGGACTGATGGCATTTGTTATTGTGATTGTATCATTAGTAAAATGTTTGACATGATGCTATTTCATGTCATCTTCTTCGTTGGGTGAAGTTCAGTGGGAACAATGAAAATTCCAGTCGATGTATCATAAGCAGTACATAAGTTGAGTGATAAGGTAACCGGATTTTCCATTTTTACCCATAGAAATTTGCGTAGGTGGGGATTTGAATCCATATTTCTTTGATGCGGATAAAAATGTTCTACTGACATATGAAAACTTGAGCTGTGGTACTTAATCATTTGATAGTGTTTCAAAATCCCGTAAAAGCGCTATAAAAATTCCTTCTGAAAAATTAAATTAAGAAAAATTAAGAAGAAAAATTAAAAATCCTGGAATTTTTGTTAAAAACGATAGTAGAGGTTTTGCTATGGTTTTATAAAAGCAACATCCTTTAGGAATAATTGACATTGATTGACTAATGATATAAGCGCTATAAGCGGTCAAATCAAAACAATTTCATTTGATCTACAATACCCAGTACCTGTCAGCATGACTGGGTTCAATGTCGAGACCGACTACCCGGGCCAGGCCGTTGACGGCTGGCGGCTGACAAATCGGTGAGCTTTAGCGTAGAAAGAGCGATGTGCAAAATGGGCGTCAGTAGTGTAACGGATAGGGCAGGCATTCTCGGAAAGAGTGAGGTGCGGGTTCTAGTCCCGCATGTCGCTAAAATTTTGCACAACACTCTGTAACACTGGGTATATAACTCTAATGACATAATTGCTTAACGGTTGTACGTAACAGTTTGGTAGAATTACTAACGAATAAGACTTGCACTATCGTCTGATTCAACCAGTGCTTTACAGCTGGGCCACAGGCTTTTTCGTAAACAATAAGTTGAAGAAAAACGCGTTCGAATTCTATTATTTGATGTCAATCCAAAATCGTAAATCTATTATGACGTTTGCTGTGATTATGAAGCAGTTGCGGAAATCCCGTTTGATGCCCTATATTCTTTTGTTTTTTTTTTTCAACTATCTGTTAAGGTCATTATAAGTACCCACTTCGAGGTTGAACGCCGTTCTTATTTCGGCTCTCTTTCATCGGCCATTCCCATCAGAACCTCATATCAAGATTTTATTGCGATCAGCACTGTTGATGTGACCATAGGGTACAACTTCGGATTCAACGACGTTCATGAGAATCTCTTCAACTCCTTCTCTTTGAGGCCGTCTCACACCTACTGTCATACTAGATACCATGCTGCAACAGTTTTCCTTCAATAATGCATTGAATTCCAGCTTATGACCGATATTCGCTGTAGGTGTTCTCTTCTTACTCTATACAGCAGATATTATTACTTGTTTCGATGGATAAGATAGAACCATCTGCTTCCTAATCCTTCAAATTTTTTACTGTTTTTACTGCCTATTTAGCAGTGTTATGATCTTCAGTCGCGCCTAAGAGAATTGAGTGGCGAGCAGAAATCCGAGCTCAGACGGGAGTCGAACCCACGCTTCATCCATACCAGGGACGCGTGCTTCCACTACACCACCGAGGCACATTTGCACGACCACTCATTCTTCAACATCTCTATGATAGCTGTCAGCCACCAAGCTTTAAAAGGTTTGGTCGGGCATACGATTTTGCTTACCGGCTGAGTGGTGTCGTAAATGTGCCTCGTGTAGTGGTAGCACGCATCCCTGGTATGTACGAAACGCGGGTTCGTCTCCCGCCTGAAGCGAATTTCCGCGCATCACTCAGTTCTCTTACGTGTTTCCTGATCCAGATGTTTTCATTATACATCGTTTCGTCACCTCAGATTTTCATCTTTTCGTTTTCAAGACAATAGGAATTATCCTTATAATTCCCACTACCGACTTTCGATTAACCCTGGCATAAGGTTACTTATATGATCTCACTTGTTTTTATATTTCGTCGAGGTTTGTGCAATGGATCTTGGTATAAAAAAGTTGTCGAATCACTGCACCATGACATCAGTCAAAGACTAACCGGCGTTACTATTATCTAAATGCAACGAAGATTGAGCGTTTCGTTTTCAACGGTAAAGGCGGAGATGCATTAGTATGGTATGGTATACTTGGTGTGTCGAATAAAATTCCGTGATGAAGAGACTGACGAAAATGGTAGAGCTTTTGTATGCGCCTAATGGACTATCCATATGGAAAGTTGAATATTCGATCAGGCACTCTAGATACACAGGGCACACAGGCAACAATTTTAAGTGACAGTCACGATCCTGGTTCAAGAATGAAAAGTAATAATTTTTGATGCGCTTCAGATGAACCGCAAAAAACAGAAATTGACACGAAAAGTGATACGTCACTATCACACGTGATAAGATAGCCTCGTGGGTATATAAGCAATTTAGTATGAGTAAGTTTCATTTTCGGCTTTGTGGTCGCAGAAGGACGTGCTCCAGAGAAAGATCGGTGAGTGATTGGCTGCTCTCTAAGTTATGGGCATATATCACTTAGAACATCTTAGATCAAATCAATCCGGTGGGTGCTTCATAGCTTTAATATACAGGTATGTTCTCAGTCAGAACACGTCAACTCAAGGTAAAGTATGGGATAGTTTATAGTCATTTGCGCAGCTTTCATGTGAAGGATAAAAGATAGAGCTCTCGATTTTGATCTATACCTGAGGGGACGCTCCATGCATTCGCTTCCAATTTTTAACATCGTCTAAGGTGATCGAATGCAAATCTGGCCTTTACAATGACTCGCGGTGGCCACCAGCTGTACCGAGTCAGTGGTGCTTATCCTCCTCGACAAGTCTGAGACCTCCTGTACCAATTTACCGACCATGGAGGGTTGGATGGCTAAGTGAGCCATGCGCGAGAACGAGACACTGACCTCGTGCGCGACGCAGAGCACCTCTAACCACTACACCACAAGCGCTCTTGATTTCATGTCAATCCAATAAAAATAAACTGCGTCTCTTTTTGTGAAATCAGTAGGTATTAAAGGTAGGCAACAAAACGGTATGACTAACATTCCTGTGCAGCTGAGCGATCTAGTTCGTTATGCTGGATCGCACTGAATCATCTCAGAAATATTCATTGACATCAGGATTGTGATCACGTGAGTAAGGATCACTTGGCGTGTCCACACTCCTCTCACATTTCATCCACTCAACAACTTTCAAGAAGTAATTCTTTCTTCCGCAAGTGATCACTGACGTACTTCCCTTGCTACGACCGATATATTACCTTTAAATTTAGATGGTCAAATATGTATCTCATGAAGATAGTTATCGCTATTTCAATGATAGTGGGATAATGATTACGGTCACAGCGGTGATAATGATTCTTTCTCTTATTTCTCAAGGAATGGATAAGTGACAGTGAAATTGATGACAATGATCACGATGGCAACGATGATTATGATCCCTTCGGATTTTTTTTAAGGAGATAAATATGTGGTAAGATAATTCTTAAGAATGTTCACACCCTTACCGAGATTGTTACGCCAGAGCCATACACGTGTTTCGGAGGTCTCGCCCTCCTCGTCAGGGGCCCACGCTCCATATTAAGCTCTGTATTATAGCAAGGAGGGAGGTGTATGTGGCGACAGCACAGCGTACAATAACACTGTGCTATCACCACTTTTCAGTCGGTGGATCGTGGCTGGTAGATACAAACTGATCCGTAGCATCGACTGTTTTTCAACCTCGCAATAAACATTCAACGTAATTCTAGGTGGTAATAGTCAAGGATAGCTGGGTGGTTAGTGGTGCAGTTTATCAGAAGAAATGTGCTGGTTCGACACCTTACCCAACACTTGCAATCGACTGCTGCAAACGCCCCAGCTAAGTCGGCTATCTTCAGCATTGCAAGTAGAATCGTCTCGACCAGCATTCTTTGAAATTCATAACAAAGACAAAATCCCCAACCAGCAACTGAAATGCAATGTTCGAAGACTTTGTGACGATGACACGAGAAAACGATTTGATTGGAAGAATGTTTAGATCAACACAGAAGATGTGATGACGGGTTAAGCAAGAATAGAATATGACCAGGTGGCATCAACATTGATAAATCACTTCAGCTATAACGGCAATAATGATCCCTTCCATGGTTTGAGCAAAACAAATAGATGATAATAATAGTGGTCGTATAATTGCAAATATAACGTTGATGATGATATTTCCTAGTTTTTTTTTCAATGGCGAAGAAACAAGTGATAGTGATAGTGATAAAAATGACGATGACAATGATATTAATCTCGTCCATCACTTTCAATAGTTCCTGGCGATATCTCCCCTTAAGCGATAATGTAGGGATGCTAACTCTCTTCGTTAGATGTTTACTTGTCGACTTTGCTGGTCAGCGAATAGGAAAGTTTTTCTATCATTTTAGGTTTGTGTTTACAGGGGTTTTAGCAACTCTAGGCAAATACAAGTGCTGGTGTGGCGCATTGGTTGCAGGTGCCCGGCAACACATAAAATTGTTAGATCAATTTGCACTCTTCTCCTGGTCAACCAATTAAGTCATCGGTCCCAGAATGGAAAATAGTTAGCCATACTCATTTACAAGGATAAAAATGCTATTTACGTGAATCAGTAATCTCAAGCTTCATCGTGTGGACGGAATATGAACACATTCACAAATGTGATACACATCGAAGCCGAATTTACGATATATATTAAGAATTGATCAACAGTAAATGCTTCATTCATCGCACTTCTAGCAAAGATGATCTTATTTGTCTCTTGACATATTGTTATATAAACGCACAAATCTTTTCACTAACGCTACAAATACACATGTGAATTTGGCCATTGAGGTGTTAGAGAATTATTGTAGAAATGTCTGCTTGGGTAACGTTCCTCAGCGCATGCTGGACAAGTCGGAACCAATAAAGCGCGCTGCAGTTATTTGCACGGATGGAACTCTCTGGGGACATACACAGGATGACAACGCATTTAACGTACGTCATATTTGTTCTTATCTTCAAATATAAATCCTCGTTTTTATCGTATGTAATGAATGTAGACGTGATGTCTATTGGCAGTGTTGATTACGAACCACGAAAATTTACTAGATAATAAAGATTTTAGGAGATTAAAAATAAAACAAAAGATAAAAGAGTTACTATTATATGGACTATTTCTTTCTACTTCCATACATTGGAAGAATATCAGGTACACGGCTGATATGGAGCTTTTGGGACTACGCATTACCACTGAATAATTTTGGTCGTCATGAGAATTACAACCTCTCCTTCTTCTCATTTCATTACATTTTGTGAATCCCACTATACTATTAACCACACGTTCGTCTGAGTCCAATCTCCGCGTTAAAACCTTCAAAAATAATGTTGAAGAACACGTCATCTTTTGTGTGAAACCTATCATAGTTCATATAAACCTTCAACTTCGCCTTCATCATATCTTGATATCTGTGCCTTGTAGAAAAAGGTGCAGTGCTGGTACTGACATATATCGTTTCAACAGCCAGCGTCCGAGTCGGGTTGTTAGTTTGGATGAAAGATGCTCTTAGTCGAATTGTGATGGCATAGACACGTACTCAACTGCCTCTTCTACTGTCCTGTTGTTCGGGGAACAGTTCTTCTTCGATGTTACAGGCGGCATGAAAGTGGTAGCGTCTTCTCGTTCTTCCCAATTCGATGATGTTGAACTACATAATTGTAGCTCGCATGACCAGGTAATCTATAAAGAACTCATATGCAAGTAAGCACACATTACAGATAGAGGGTGTTACCTTAGTTCATCAATATCCACGCAGTCTGGAGTCTTCTCCGTGCGTTTGTAGTGCCAGCAAAAAGAGGCCAATTATTTTTGCTTGAATTTCGATACAGACGTATAGCTTGCCGAGCTCTGCACGTAGAGATTGGTACCCAAATGTGGTCTGCCAGCCGCTCCTAGAGTGGATAGGGAGGAGCCTATTCATTGAAGACGACTCTCAAATGTCTCCTCATTTGCTTCTCAGTCACCTGATTGAGAATTTGACTCGTGAAACACAAAAACGTATTGTGTCAAGCTATCTCAGCAGGAGCAGAAAAACCACACCCTGAATTCATCTGAGTATAAAGGAAGCATATTCCCATCTTGGTGATCGTTTGGATGCCCTATCCGCTTTCTGAGGATGTTGATCTAGAGTGTTTCGTGCAATGATCCACAACACTCGATTCGTCTCTATGCGACGGCCACGAAAGCCATCATCGGAAGAAGAACAGCTGCTGTGGAGACTCATCATTTTAATCATTATGGCTCTGAGGAAGGCAACGCAACTGCTGAAACGTTAGCCAAAACAAGCATTCACAGAAGCCCTATGTTAGTTCACAAATAAGAAGAGTAATATATGCGAATGCTCCACGTGGACTCGCAAAAAAAACTTCTGTAACGGAGATCCGCGAAGTGACGGATGAAAATAGAAAAATGCGCCAATTGGTAATGTACTTTTGATGCAGGGCCAACAATCAATCATTTGATATTATAAATCATCAGAAACGTTTTTGTGAGAAAAGTTCAGGCAGACGATTCGAATCTCTATGGCAGATTTCTGCTTCTAATGGGAACTGAAAAATCTGTAAAAGAAACAGAGAACGCGTTGTTCTCAAACTATTGAAAATGAGCATAGATAACGGGAGTTAGGGGTATTTTCTATAATATTAGGTACTACATGCCTTTCATACCACTCTCCCCCATCCTATCATCATTCGGCCCCAGCACATACTCATAAGCGTTTTTTTTTTG